GCTGGTGGTGGTGTGTGAGGTGCTGGCGAACTGTCCGCGGGTGAAGTGGGAGTGGGAGAAATGAGAGGTGAATGGTGAGAAGGGTGAGCTTGTTGTGGTTGGAGAGAGGTGTCATGTCGTCGTTGGTCTTCCTGAAGTTCCTGCCAACGGCTCTGACACTGTTCAATAGAGAAGCCAACCCGGCGAGCAACGTAGTTCCAGTTGGGTCGTAGGCGGTTGTCCTTTTTTTAGCTCAATGAGCTTGAGATCAGCTTCACCGTCCCAATCGTCCCAGTTGGCGTCGGAATTCAATGGAGGTGGTGGTTGGCGTTTCTTCTTGGGTGGCGGCGGCGCTGAAGGAGATGTGTCAGAAGAAGAATGGGTAGATCGAGGTGCTCGTCGGACAGGCTCAATGGGTGCTGAGTCACAAGAGGAAGTGGGTGAAAGAATGGGGACTGCAGAGGAAGGAGGTGCTGGTAGTGGAGGGAAGGTGCGTTGAAAGTTGGGATCGACCTGTCCTGTGTGGAGCAGGTATAAGTTGTGCAAGTTGGCAAGAATGTCTGTGGCTTGTTGGAGAAGGCGGTGTAACTGGGTAAGGGCGATCGTGGTGCGGTGGATCAGCTGCGCTGGTGTCGAACTGGGATGCATCTTGGATGATAGCTTGGATGATGAGTGCCAATGATGATGATAGTCAGCAGCAGCGGCTCCGCAGCGCGTCCCAGTGGCGGTGCAGCACAACATGCAGTGACGACACGAGCGTGCGTATGAATTAAATTGTGAATTGTTCGAGCATGAATTGTGCAGAGAATTCGGTCACAAAGAATAGTGTCCTCATGGGGGGCCCAGCGAAAATTCAAGATCCGAATCAAAAGGCCTGCAAAAACCATAGAGAAAGGAAACGGGGAGGTCTTTTGCTCAAAAACAAACATTGAGGTTACCGCATGAGCAAACTCTCGTGCAGAGATTCCCGCCCGGCAACATATCAACTGGACGGCGGTTCAATGAATTAGACCGGCTGCTCGCCCAGATTTTCCGCTGGAAGGTAGGTATGTGGCTGGAGTGAAACTGTGGCTGAGGTGGCGCTCAGGGTGTAGGTTGGCAGTGGAGGTGATCATGTGGTTGGTGTTGTTGCGTTGCACATGACTGACCAGGCAATGCCCTTGATAATGGCATTGTCGGGGTGAATCACCCAGGATTTTGCGTTGGCATGGTGTACAGCGCCATGGTGTTTTTGAAGCAATCGCATGGCGTGTTCTTCGCCACCGGTGGTGAACTTCGTGCCTTGGCCCCAGGCCAAAATGTTGAGGATTACTGAGTGAACGTTTTTTGATAAGTTCCAGGTGTTGTGAAGAATGCGCGCGTGTTCGGAGTTGTCGTGGTTGAGTTGGTGGGTGATGCGGACGCCCGCGGCCTTGTTGGAGGATGTTGGTGATGTTGCCACGAGGGCCTGTGTGACCTGCGTTGAGGTGGAACATCTCGGGTGTGTTGGCTGTGGCACGGGTTGCAGGTGGAGGAAAGGTGCGGGTAGCTTTCTGAACGAGACTGGGAATGGTGAGGCAGTGGTATTGGTAGAGGTCGTATGTATTGGTGGAGTTGTTCCACTTGACGTGTGTGAATTGGCGAAAGTCGGAGATGTCTTTGTAAGTGAAACCGCTGTCGAGGAGGTTGTGGTTTGTTGGGTGAGCCAAACTGTTCGGCACGCCAATCAAGCCAATGTTCCAGTTGTTCTTGGGGTGTGTATTGCTGTAGCTGGGAGGTAGGGCGCCAATGTCGATCCGGTCGGCGCAAAGCTGGGATGGTGGGATATTCTGTCTGAGACAGGGCGGTGACAGCGTCTTGCTGTGTGGAGTCGTTGTTGGGACGAAGTGAAATGGGGTGTCTGGAGCGGCTGCGCGAGCGGCTGTCAGAGTAGGAATAGAAAGAGGAGGTGGAGGGAGAACGTGGGCGGCGGTGTCGTGATGAACGATGTCGGTGAGATGAGCTCTGCTTTTTGTTGGAGTGTGGTTGAGATTGTCTGGCGCTATGGCGTCTGGCGCGCCGTCCCCGGGTGTGATGACGACGGTGTGTGTGGCGAGAGTGGTGGTCCGAGCTCGCCTGCTTTGTGGGCGCTAGTGGTGGCGGAGCGGTGGCCGGCTGAGGTTGTTGTGGTTGTTGTTGGTGAGAGGTGGGTGAGTCGGCTTGTTGCTGTGATTCTGGCTGTGTGGGAGAGGTGATAGCTGAGGGTGGGGGTGGGCGCGGTTTGTCTGCAGGTTTGGAGGACGGGTGGTCTGCTGCAGGTTGGTTGGCCTGAGGTGAATGCACTGTGGTTGGTGAGGTTGGAAGGTCCGCTGTTGTTGTGTGGGGAGATGGTGATGGGTTTGCAGCTGCTGCGTGCTCTGGTGCAGCCTGGGATGTGTTGGAATTGGTCTGTGCTTGGGGCGGCGCCCCGGTGGTAGGGTGAACAACCGGTGGGAAGACGGAATATGGTTGCCAAACGCCTTGGCTGTAGTCCCAGGGAGGTGGGGTTGTTGGGCCGGGTGGTGATGAAGGATGTGGAACCTGAGTAGCAGGGTGCGGGTGTGGTGGCTGATGCTGGAGGACCAAGGTCGGTGGTTGTGATGGCAAAGGCTCTTGCTGCTGGATTGGGATTGGGATTGGGTATGCTTGGGGATGTGGTACTGGAAGAGTGAGTTGTAATGGAGGCTGAAATTGTGGCAAAGGTGTAGGTTGCCATGTTGGCTGAGGCATGTGATGTAGTGTCGGCATCATTTGTGGTTGAAGGGAAGGTGCAGCGGCGTGTGCCGGATGTATGGGGATTGTAGGAGCTGTGGGAGTTGGTGGCTGTTGGGGCCAATATGGATATGGCCACGGATATTGCGTTGTTGAATGTGAGGCCACTTCAAAAGCTCAGACAAAGTCGGACCGGCCGCGCAATGGCACCGGCGCGGGGCAGCGGCTAGCAATGATGCCTGCTGAAAAGGTGAAATGATGGTGAGGTGAACATTGGTGATGGTATTATCCATAATGGTATGAGATGAAGTGGCGTGAGATGATCCGCAATGTGATGACTTGTGAGAGGGTGATAGAAACGGAGAAAGACTTGAGATGACAATGAGGTGAAATGATATGAGTATGTGATACTGACGGTGGTAACTGTACATCCTTGAAAAGTCTGTGATTGGCTGCAAAAACACTCCAGCGTGAATCAAACCGTAACAACAAGCATCATGCATCAAGAAATCTGAAAGGTCAATGTTCTTCCATCGTATTAGCCCGGCGGCTCAATGTGCAGTAAATTCAGGGTAGATAAAGATCAAGGAAGGTGAATCAGTGCATGAGAAGAGTCAGTAACTCAATTTCCAGTATGAAAACAGCGCCTCCTTGCGGAGGATCACACCCAGCACCCATGTGGGACGGCTGAGCGGCTCACACTTCGACATTGGTTTTCAGTTAACTCAATTGCCTTGTCAAAAATGGTGAGGGAACGGCATGGCGAGTAAGTCGGTTCACTTGAAAGGTTGAACAAGTTGTTTGTGCGTGACTGCAGAGCTCAGCGGTGATGAACAAGCGGCTCAACTCAGCTGCAGAAAACCTAAAAACGTTTGTGGGGAGGAAACATGAAGAACCATGGAAGCAAACAAGATCAATTGGACAGCTTGTGCAACCGTTGACGCAGGTACACATCCATGGCCAGTGGATGCTTCCCTCTCTGATGCATAGCTTCGTTGGACAGAGTAGCATCAGAGAGCTCTGTCCCCCTGCGATGATCAGCTGGCAGAAAAAACCCTTCGAAACAGGGGTTGACGCACACACAGACACACACACTTTGGGGCCGTTTAGCCTGAGCTCCGAATGCACACGGGCGCGTTTACATCATGCATGGCGTCCGTCCCAACATGGCCAGCCAATGGGCCCGGCATGGTCCAGTCGTGTGCATTTGCGCGCAAACCCCTCCCCATCGAAGGAACGATCGGCGTGCAGAGCGTGCTCAGTCAAACCACTTCGCGGTGGTTCAAGTAGCAGTATATAGCGCTCAGTAGCAGTCTCATCGGTGATGAGTTGGATCAAGTTAGACCTCTGACCTATCCCTCACTCTTATAAGTTGACGCAGGTGTCCCAGGAGGCGTGACTCAACACATGCAAATCTATCACCACCTATCAGACCTGTGCATGCGAGGAAGAGGGCCAGCTCAGCACCAGCTCTGAGGATACCCGTGCCCTGTGTCAAAGACTTTGGCGCAAGAACAGTGCCCTGCACTTTCTCCACCCAGATCCGCACACCTGCGAATAGAAGCTGTGAACTGGGTAACTCACCATCACGAACTTCAGGGGTTCCAGCGTCACGGGAGCCAGGCCTGCACTGTCCCGTCCGTGCACTGGTCATGACAGGGACCGTGACCAACACTTCACTAAGCTCCGCGGCACGGTCGAGGTCAGTCCCTCGCAAAATGCGTTCTTGGTGGCTCCAGTGTCTCTGCAACCGCTTCAATCGTTACTGCAAAGTCGCATCACCAATTATTGAAAGGCTGCCAAATCGAAGGTCCTCCTTTTCCCTTCACACGACCTTTATTGAAGTATTGACCCTCAGCTTTGTAAGACATCAGGAAAATCAATAAAACTATATATACACATACATATAAACATATATTACAAACTGTATATATGTTTAAGGGTTTTGAAAGCGCACAAGTCAGCCCCAAAGGCTAGCTGCTAGCTTTTGGACTTACACGCCCTAACACAATCAGACCTAGACCTAGCGGTTGCAAGCTGCAATAAATTAGAGAACAGATTTTAAAATGATTTAACATGGGCGCTGACTGATTCAAGCCCGAATCTGGCGACAAAGAACAATAGAGACTTGGCATATCTTGGAGTTGGTGAGACCAAACAACACCCACATTCATCATTCATGTATGTTTTTTGCGCATGAGGGAAGAACAGTCCAACTACCCGGCGACCCTCCCGGACTTGGGCGACGATCAGATGCAGAAACCCACAAGAAGGAGCGGCTTCACTAAATTCATATTGGATGATGCACTTCCTTAAAAAATGAACACCCAAAAAATGAATCCAGCTTGTCGCTGAGCATCCTCAGAGATCTTCCGCATGCTGCAAGCATGGTCGATTTCAGTCAGAACCACATCTGGCATCAAGATTCCATGATCCTGCACGGATCTACTGAATCGCTGGGCCAGGACATTCGCATCCTGTTCGCAGGACTCTGTACCCAAGGCTCCCTTGTAGCCACCAAGTCTTCGCGTCAAATATCTGTTTGCCAGCTCGAACAGCAACGTGCGCGGCGATTGTTCCTCTGAGCTTCGGTTGATTGTTTCTTCTTCTTCTTCTAAATCTATGTCCTGCTCACCAGATTGAAACTGATCATCAGACTGGGCCTCATGATCCAATGTAGGTAAGCTGGGGCACGGGCCATTGCGCAAACTGACGAAGCGAGCCCCGTCAGCCCCCCAAAGACACAGTTTGTCAGGATGCGAACGCACCAGCGCCGTCAACTTGCCATATTTCTGTAGTTTTGGAGCTGGACGCACAAGTTCTTTCAGAAATACTCCAAGCATACCGCAGTCCATCCGGCCCGTCTCGAGCTGCTGCAAATGGCACACTATACAAAAAACTACGAACTCTTCCACGTTTGTAATGCTCACCGTCTGGAAGTCATCCTGCTCGCCCTCCTGTCATCTCAGAGGTCACAACTTGAAGTCAATCGACGTTCCTTGCACTTTGGTCAACTTGACAATCCTCAAAATTCAAACCCAACCAGGAATGCTTTGCGTCAGCCCGTCTCCTTGGAAAGGAATCTCAAAGTGTTAAGAACTTGGTCGGGGGATTTATTTTCCTGCGTGCAAAACTCTTCGAAGTCGCTGAGCGGCAACCTGCTGTCATGCACAGATTCAGGGTCAAGTGTACCATTTCAGGCGTGACACGTTACATCAACTGCATAGCATCTTCTGAGACTTGTCGTCGGGACCAAGACTGATAACAGATTCCGACAGTAAAACAAGTTTTACGTTCCCTTGTGTTTCGCAGCATTGCCCGTAGCTGCTCCAGCAAGCAGCAAATCCACCAGCCCACTGTGCAGGGAGACCAAGTTTAAACAAAAACAACATGATTAGAACGTGATATATATACCTGAGAAGGGGGGGGGGCGAAAGCCAGCAGCCGCCAGACGAGTGTCTCTTTTTCTGGCGGGCGGCGCGGCACAAGACACATGGTCGGCAGCTTGCGAGTCAGCGGTGCCGTGGATGCGGGGGGGCGAATGTAATGGTGATGGAGGGAGAAGAGAAGCAAGCCGGGCGGCTTTGGGATAAGTTTGGTATGCAAGAAGTAGTGAAAAGGAAATGCGATACGTTGTATGTTGGTGTAGGTCATCATCACCAAAGCAATGGCATGTGTTTTTTGTCACATTCAGGAAGGTATGCGTCTTGTGGAAGTGGGAAGGACATCAGCGTTAGCGAAGGGGAAATACCGTCTGAGTTCGGGTGGTGGGATACCGCGCGCGCGCGCGGTGCGCGCGAGTACAGCATGCGTTTGAAAATTGTGTTTGTTACATTTGGAATGTTTGAAGTTTGCAACGCATACTGCGGCGCGTCGAAAAGCGGCAGTCGTTGATTTGGAAGAGTGAACGGGCACGTCTTAGCCGGGACACGGACGTTTGATCCCGCGGTGCAGAAGGTGAGGTCCAGCGAAATTAGCTTGGGCTAGCAAAGAGGTGAGGATTTGTGTGAATGCCTGGACTTGAGTGAGTCATGTTCTGGCTCGATCCAAAACACAGTCCTTCTCCTTTGAAGGGGCCTTTATTAAACGATTCAAACACATTCTTTATTCTCCTCTTTCTTATCAACTCTGCGCCTTTCTCACTCAGAGGCCTTGACTTTGGCACCTGCGTGTGTAGATCTTTGGGCCGTGGACCCAGGCTGACTGGATTCAGCCAGCAAAAAGGCGACGTCATGAGTCTGTAGTATATAGAATTTATCTGTCTATCTATCTATCTATCTGCACTGGCAAGCCGGAAAAACGTTCGGTGCGTGTGGACGCCGCGAGAAGCATCCACTCGACCGAGGACATGTGCAAGTATAGATTTTGCTAGGGGGCAGGAACCTTATGCGGATATGTAGTCAACCTCGCAGGCATCCCCACAGAAACTCAATCCAAATTCATGGGCTTGAGCTCATGTCACCTTCGGTTCTCTATGGATTTCGCAAGTTACGGGTTGTCCTGGGAACTCGTATCCTACATGCGGCCTGCTCTGTACATCATTCCCTGTCTCCACTCGATTGCTCAATGCCCATTGTCCAAATAGCCTCCAAAGCCCTTCGTGATGCTAATGATGCACCACTCGGCGTCCATTACATCACCCGCATCACCAAACCCCATGTTCACTGCTTTCTGACCCTCGCTTTGGAGCGCTCTCCCCCACGAAGCTCTTCGTTCACCCTATCAAAAGGTCCTCCTCAGCGACCCCCCCCCCACACACCCCCTTGGCTCACTTCGTTCGCCCTAAAAGCTCAAGCCTAGCCTATCGGCTGGCTTTCGTAATATATATATATATGTACATATATATATATAAAGACTCAGGCCCTCAGCGCTCTGTTTTGCTTTGCAAGGTCGAGTTTGTTAGAATTACTAAAGAATCAAATCATTCAAGAAAAAATGAGGGTTAAAACATCACTTCTCTTCCCTTCCCTGGGATAGAACCCCCCTGGGAACTGCCGCCAAACCAGGCAAGAACCCAGCCCGAGGGTTGGTACAAACTGCCCTAAGTCTCTCCGGCAAACCGGAGAAAGAAAAAGGCCCACAGTTTGTTTGCAAACTATTCCCACTCACCGCGCGTCTCACTCCGACCGCTCATTTTTTGAAGTCTTTCTGCTCTTCTTCTTCCTTCCATCTCCCAATACCCACAAAGGGAGGGAGAGGTGGGGCTGACAGCCAACGCTCGAGAAACAGAAGCTCAACCGGTCCTATCATCTTTAATTACGGGGCCGAAATTACAAAGACTCAGGCCCCAAGGCGCCTGGCCCCACTTTCGCTGCAAGCTGAGTCCTTGCACTCTCCTGAAACAGCCCATCCAGCTCCTCCTCTGCCAGCTCCCCCATGGACTCGTCTGAATCCGTGGAGCTGGACCCCTTGGATCGCTTCTTTAGGGCCTTCTTGGCCAACTTTGACACTTTCCTTCTGATCTTGGCGTCCTTGTCGAGACCTGTCCCGTCGAAGAGGCTTCCATAGTCCTTCTTTCCCTTCACCTTGAAGATCTTCCTCTTCTTCTTGTGCTTCTTCTTCTTTCTCGAATCGCTGCTGTCGCTCGACTCCTTCTCCTCCTCTTTCTCGCCTGGCGTAGGGGCCACCTCGGCCGGGGCTGCGGGGACTCCTCCACCCGCTCGAGCTGCTGCATCGGATCTCTCCGCGAGCCTCCTGAGCTCCTCCATGCCACTTGCCCCCTTCAAGTTGTCTACCCATCCTGGGTCACCAGCACTCCGGCGTTGAAGCTTCTTGAGATGGATCAACTCGTCAGACTCAGGGGTACCAGGACAATCAGCAGGGCAAAGATGAAGTCGAACTTTAGGTCTCTCCTGGCCGGTCAGCCACCTGAGAAATCCCTCATCCTCCGTTCCGCTGAGGTGACACACGACCTCCAGAGCTCCACCCTGTATCTGCACACCCTCAACCTCAAAGGCCAGGCTGACGTCACGCCCCCAGGCTTGCCTTCTCCCAGGAGTCGAAGTCCAGGGACCAAGACTCCCACTGGGAGGCTATGCGCGTCAACGGCTCCTCCGTCCTCAAAACCTGCAACTCTCTCGTCGGCAGCTGCAGGTCGAAGCCGAACCTCTCGCTCTCCACGGCCAGCTCCTGCAGGATCCTCTCTTCTCCTCAGCGCCGGTCGTCTGTCTCCCACCGCAGGCCTCCTCAACGGCCGGGGAGGCATCTAACGACCCTTCTTCTTTTCTGCTTTTCGCCAAGCGACGTACTCCTTGGAGGTCTTCTGCAATTCTTTCTTTTTCAGCCCTTTGTTTGTTCCTGAATCCTCCTTGTGGGTTGGCTTGGGCTTCAAGCTCAAGTTGTTCCTTCCGCTGGGAATGGGTCCCTTCCAGTGGGGTGGCGGCCTGGAAGGCGATCTCGGCCTCCTGACCTCCTCTAGCCGCAACTCGGGCCTGCTGGCCGCTGCTTTCGGTGTACTTGACGCTGACCTTTCTGGTTCCTCTCTCTCCTTCTTCGGGACCTGGATCGATGGCGATGTCTCCTCTTCTTAGGAGTCGGATTGTCCTCCTTGACCTCCTCTGGGACCTCACGGCTACGAGATGTACTGACCACCTCCCTCACGCCCGGGTCCTCGTCCTTCTTGTCGTCGAGGCTGTAGTCTGCTGCTTCCTCTTCTCTCTTGACCTCAACCTCTGGCTTGGGTGATTCTCGGCGATCTCGATCTCGTGGAGCTGACCTTTCTTCTGCAGCCGGTGTACCTGTCTCTTTCTCACGATCTGCCTTTCGCTCACTGGGTCTGGCTGAACGTCCTCGATCTCCCTGAAACACTGGCCTTGCTGGGTGAGTTGTTGATGCCCGGGGTTCCTTTGCTTGTTCTCGATGCGCTGACTCGGATGCCTTCTCCTTTGATGCCTCAGCCGGTTTCTCTTCGCGGCTACCTTCTCCACCAGGAAGTGCTGCTCCTCCTCCAGGGCGGCCTCCCGCTTTGCCCCCAGTCACAGGAGGAGGGTGTGCTGGACCCTCCCTTTCCTGTGGCCTGTGAGCGTCCAAGAAATCCTCTAGTTCTCCCAGAAGATTTCTGACCTTGATCGTCGCGTAGCCGACGAAGAGGTCCGGTTCCACACGTGTGCCCTCTATCACAAGACGACACACGCGGCGGAGCGAGGGGCACAGCGGTACAGTTGCACGTTGTGCTGTGCCCCCACATTGACTGCTGAGAGCCAACGCTGCGAGAAACAGAAGCTCAACCGGTCCTATCATCTTTAATTACGGGGCCGAAATTACATATAGTTTCTGCAGCAATGCCCTTCCCCGTGGCAGCAGCGCCCTCCTCTCCAGATCACCAGCTTTGAGCTCTCCAATAAGAACCTCATAGAACCTCCATAGTTAGAGCCGAGCTATCCTTCACACTTGGAGTCATCTAATTACTTGGGAAAAAATGCATGGCAATGCACTAACTGGCGATGCGCCACACCCATCTTCATTCAGCTCTTGAATTTATATAACTGTAAGGTGCTCCAACGACATGTCTGCCGTACAAACGCAGCTGTCGTCTTGTTGTGGCTCCATCCATATTTGAACACAATTGATTGCAATTCATGGCCCCTGACGCACCATGTGTTCATCCACCACCATGACCCAGATTGAATCCTGCAAAATTGCACTTGGCCCCAAAAAGGAAATGCCATCCGGTATGGCAGGGCGATCAATCCGCTGTGGCCTGCCAGCATCTTTCCCCTTGTTGATCATGTACTGCACCACCGAAAAATAGGCTTGCTCTTCTTGCGGTTTCTTTGGCTGCGTCCTTGTCTCAAGGTTTCTACTGTTCATCGCAGAAGCAAATACGCACTGACTAAAATGCCATGGAGTTCCAATGTGGGCATTGCTTGAACTAAAGAGCAGAATGTTACGCAAGTCGCATCGAAAGAATTCACGGTGAGCCTATCTGGCAAGCATGACAATATGGAATCAATGGAGTCAATGGAGGCTCCTGAAAGGTGCATACAAGGTGCTGCTCAAGGGGATCTTCACTGCTGGGCCCGTTGACGCTGCCATCTTTGATGCTGCATCGCCAAACCCGCTGCGGCCTGATTGCAAGCTGAAATGCAAGTTGAACCTCTTGTGCACAGCAAAAGCGAAATTTCCGAATAGAACCTCGCCTAATTACATGAAGAGTTGGGAAAAAAAACCATGAACACAACTGTCTTCCTTTTTTGCCATTCCAGCGGGTGCCTTTTGAGCCTTCGGATCCAGTGCCCTCGCAGGGCCGCTGCCATCAGAACGGAGTGTGCGAGCTTGGCATGTCGTCGCCCAAGGCCATGCGCGCCGCCAATGTCCTTGCAACAGTTCGGTCAACATCTGCTTCTAGCATCCTCTAGCAACGGAGGCATAAACAAACACGGATCAGCAATGCAGGATGCTGTTCTGTCCTGCGACTGCACACGGGCCTTTAGCAAGCCTGTTCGATGAGAACAAGGGTCGACGCAGCTCCAAGTAGATGCCCGCATGTCTACTCGAAGAGCACAGTCTTAATCTCATGCGTCCTTTTTGCATGTCAGTTTAGCATATGAAGGTGGCTCACATCACTCCAGCCCTGAACAAAACAACCTCCATGACACGTCTTGTAGTCCTGCTAGGTCGTCAGTAAGACAACAATTGTCATCGTAACATGCCCCCCATGGCGCGCATCTATGATAACTGAACCGCGATCTGCTTCCCTGCTGCCTTGAGATCTGATAGCAAACGGAATGGTTGATTGCACACTGCTGCAAGTCTCAACATGTTCTTGCCCCATGTGCCCATAGCCAGTGCTTCCAGTTGCCTCCTCCATTTGTGCCCCCCCAAAATGTATATATATATAATTACATGGAATGTTCAAAGGACCACTGAATTTGGAATTGGTGCGTGCCTGTTTTGCTCAGAGTTGCGCTTCCTGACAATTCCTACATGGCTGGCCAAAATTAGTAAAAACATGTAAAGGCCCTGGTGTCCATTGCCAGAATTGACATGCGCCCAACCAGCCACATTGATTCTGTCAAGGGTCATTAGGAGAGCGTGCCTGCACAATGGAACCGTACCTTGCCAACCATTCGCAGTTGCCTTTGCAAGCCTTCGCAACAAGCACTTCTGCGCAAAGGGCGCCTTCCCACCTAAGCCTGAGCACATGGTCATGTGACGTGTGGGATTTTCAGCTTGCGCCAAACCATGCCAAACCAAATCAAGCCAAGACAAGGGTACTGACTTCGTACAAACATCGCTTGGCCTTCATTGGGTCAAGGCAATTTGCCCCTGAGTGTTTGCTTGCGCTTTACTCGCAGTTCACTTGGTCGAGCATCGAGGGTTTCAGACTCCATTGATATATACCCCGGATATTTCTGGAGAACTTTGGTTTAGTACTTTGGCTTTGGAGTTTCACACGCTTGGATACGACCAGCGGGGGTTTTGACAGGTCGACAAGGGTGGGACGCGTCGCACCTGGCATGACATGATGTCATCCCTGGCATGACATGACGCCACCCCTGGCATGACATGATGCCATCCCTGGCATGCCATGATGTCATCCCAGCACCTGCACCAGCACTCGCAAAACCAGAACGCCGAACCCCAGCCAGCACCTGCACCAGCATCAGTACGGCAGCAGCACCCGCAAAACAAAAATGCCGATCCAAAGCCAGCACCTGCACCAGCACCCACAAAACAAAAACGCCGATCCAAAGTCACACCATTGAGAAGTTAAAACCCCTATAGCCTGCAGGTATCTGGGGAATAAACACGAATGATTTCGTGAGAGCGCTCTTCCAGGAAGCTTGTCTCGATCACAGGCTCCAGGAAAAATGACACTCGGAGAGTTTTCTGAGTTTGGAGAGTTCGCAGAATTTTTGGATATTTTTGGCAAATGCATCAAGTTCGCTCAAACAACAAAAGCACTTATAGAACTTATATACTTCCCCAAACTTAACTAATTACAGAGCTGACAAAGCTTTCCTATCACCAATTCGGGAGGGATCTCTAACAACACGGGATATGTCCAACTTCCTGACTTCCTGTTTCACTTGCTGAAGAAATCGACCCCTGAAGAATCTTATGAACAAACCTCTGACCTTGGAGAATCCTCCGTCGCTCCTTTTTCGCTGCGCTTTGTCGATGTCATTCGGTCTTCATGACGTCGCAGAAATCAGGACCAGGAGAACTGAGGAATTCTGAAGTCCTTCACTTCGTTTCACCTCAACACGTTTCAATGTATGTTTAAATTATGTTAAATTGATATGTTAGGTGCAAAGTGAGCCTTGTGTAGAAGAGAAAGAATCAAAAGTAATATGTTGGAGGCCCAGCCTACCCCCCTCACCCGAAGAGCTCAAACCAGCTTACAAATCTTACAATAGAGCAGATTCGTCAGGCGTGGTGACTGAGGTGCTGGCTGCATGCCAAGTGCAAGCAACTTCCACGTCTGGGTCCTCCAGCACAGCGTTGCGAAAACGTGCGCCCATGCAAAAACACTGCGCGCGCGAACACACACTGAAGGACCCTTGAAGAACACCGGGCCTTCACCCTAAAAAATACCACACGAAATGTAAGGACCTCTTACAGCAACTGTTTGATGACAAGGGTTGTTGTATGCTGTAGGGATCAGTCCCATTCAACCCCTCCTCCTGATTTCCCATGGCGGTACGTCCAAGGGCATCAGCGGGCGGGACATCATGACTCAGAATTAAATCATATGCTTTGAAAACAGTTGCACTATGGGGTAATTCTGCTATGCTGACTTAACATGACTTAACTAACTCAATGGTGCGATTTTACGGCCGTACGTTTGGCACTTGTAGTGTTAAAGGGTAACTGAATGCCATGGTTTTCTGGGAGATGCGCTGCCGGTTATTAAATTTGAGAATGACTAATGCAATGACTAATGCTCCTTGAATCTATGTAATCTATTTATCTTTATTTATCATCATTTGGCTACACCACTGCCTGAACAAAGATCAGCAGCTGTACCGCCGAAGCAGACCAAGAGCAAGTCTTTCCACGCTGAAATGACCAGGCAAAACCAAGACAAGGTGGTGTTCTCTGTTCTTTCATGTTCATTCTAAACGAGTTAGAAGCTCAGCTGCTCAAATCCACCCAGACTGGGAGATCTGCGTGTGGTGGACTTGACAAGGCGCAAGGTGGTGGCAACCGCCAATGGCCACCAATGCAAAGGCTTTCATCACGCCCTCCGAACATGACAGAACCGTGCACAAGAAGCTAAGGGTGCACTCTGCCCATCAGCAGAAGCACACAGCCGAGCTTCAGGTAGCACATAGCAATTTAAAATCAATTGAGCAGCCACCACACCCCTCAAACAATGTTTACTTCTGTTTACCATCCACAGTGGTAGATCCTCTATCACTGGCAGTCTCATCCTGAACAAGCTTCTTTCTGACAAATATATGTTGTACTTCTCTATATCGGGGGTTGGCCAACATGACTGAATTTGGTATATGTTCGACCAGCCGACAAGATTGTATCTCTTCTCGCCACTAGCAATACATGAGGAGCCTCACCTCGCCATCTCTCACTGCTCTGGCCACATTGGGCCAGATGCGAACCTTGGCGAACCACAGCGTCAATCACATTCAATCACTTTCCAAGGGTTTCACTGCCACAACGTGGACGCAGCACCATGAACCAAGCACCATGGCACCTTGGCCTCTGAATCATCGTTGGGGCCTGTGGGAACTTGAAGAGTCCGCAAAAGCCAAAATTGTTCTCCTAGGCTGGGACGTCCAAAGCAACAAAACTGATGATAATTGATGCATAATTATTTATACAATATATCATATATATTCATATATATATATATATAAATAAACATTCAAAGCACTAAGCCCCAACGTCTAGCCTAATGCGGGCGTCCTAACTTCCCCATAGAAGCCACTTCGTTGATGGTAATGTCACAAATGCTCCCGTCGTCGGCACTTCCTGTCCGGAGCACACACTGAAATCTGACAGGTTCCTTCACTGTTCTGCATGACGTGGGCCATCATAAACGCAGGCGACGCTTGGAATTGTCTGGGTCAGAACGTAGAACCCTCGCAATACTGCCTCTGGAGGTTTGTCATGTCGAGTGTTTCAATTGTGGACACAAGTGTCAATAGTTCTGAAATGTCCTGTGTGGTTTCTTCATATGCTCTTCTTTTGTTTGACTATGGCGGGGGAAAGCCTAGTTGAAACAACACTACAGTACGTTATCTCCTTGCCCTGCCTGGGTGGTCGCTGCAATGGAGGCAGGGGGACGTGGGCGAGCCAGAAATTTGATGTCTCATGTTGCATACTCATTTCATCTCATTTCTGAAAGGGTGACCTACATATACATATAGCATTGAATACTTGTGAAATCCGAATCTGGCCCGCAACGGTAAATGTGCGCCTCCCGATGTGGATTTGACCTCCACAAACCGAACCTCCCCTTCTTGTCCTCACATTCATGCTAGGATGCTAGGCTGGTTTGATTTGACACACCATGCAAAACCCACTCCATGTGTGATGATTGACTGGCACAAACTTGCCATGCAACTACTCTCCTGCTTCGGCCTTGCGCAGAAGCTCCACGACTTGAGCTTTGTCCACAACTCCTTTCTCCCCACAAAGGGAAGCGAAATCGCCACTCTTTCCTGACACGAGACTCTCGCGTTGTTACAAAATCCACTTTCCCTCTTTCAAGAGGAAAGGTTTGCTACCCTTTCTAAAACAGGTGTCCAACCTCTGAGGGTTAAAAATGATACCAAATGGAGGGATGCCAACGTCTCGCGGAATACATGTGTGAGAACACGGTCAGCTCGCAGCAAACCTCGGCCACGTGAACCGGGCCCAGCACAGTTGGCGTGACTCTGAGCAAGTGGCATGAAAAGAGCTGGAGCTGCTGCTGCTGTTGCTGTCGTGCTGCTGCCACTGGTGCCACTGCTGCTGCTTTCTGCTTTGCTGTGCTGCTACTGCTGCTGCTGCTGCTGCATTGCTGGTTTGCTGCTGCTGCTGCTGGCTGCTTGTTTCTGCTCAAATCACTACCAAATTCTCCGCGGCGCAGGGTGGAGTCGAATGACATTTAAAACCAAATCTTAAACGACCGAAATCAAGCACAGGAGCTCGTGACCACCCCCAGTACATTGCTAAAGCAAGGCAACTCAGGTAGGGTAACCGCTACCTTTCGTGATATATATATATATATATTAATATATATTATATATCTGCAAATGCCAACCCAGAACTTCCACAACACGGGGAGCCCTCGGGTCCCACACAACACACTTCAGCGGCAAAACCGGCACGGAATACAGGCACCCAGTCATGGAGAAGTAAGAACCCCTATGGCTATCGGCTATCGCTATCTGGAGAAGAATGAACAAAGGGCCTGGCAAATGGAAATGCAACGCATACTGTAATGTATATACATGTTTTAGCATATTGCCAAGGAACATTTACAGAACCTTGGGACCTTGGGAATCCCCAAAAATTACACTGAGGTGGTAGCATGTTACTCAAAAAAGGGTAGGTTGAGGTCCTAGGTCCTAGTTAGTATTCAAGCATGAGCACCATTCGGGTATTTCCAATCATCAACATCTTGAAGCCACTTCACCAACAAAGAGACAGGAGCCAAGAGTCGAATCAACAAGTCAAAGGGCAGCCCAAGTTCCTCCTAGAGCTGTCAACACATGAGTCGCACAAACGAAAAGATGTATTTTTGTAGGATGTGAAGAGCAAGTGGATCCCAAGCAGTTTGTCCTTGTCATTTAGCCATAAAACCTGCACAAGTGAATGAGCCGGACGAAACAATCTATGACTCTGTGACTCGTATGAAACCTAGTGAAAATCACACAGCAAAAATCAGCCAAGGCATTGCCTGATAGCCTTCACTTTTCAAGCAAAGCTGGGCGATCCTCTCTCCATTTCTTCCGACCGCCTCTTTATTGCCTTCCGAACGTTCTCCCTTAACCATCCAAATGGAGTTTTCAACAGATTCTCCTACCAATATTGTACAGTGGCAAAAGAAGCGCAAGAGTCAAGATATTGACCAAGAAAGTGATTGTCTCAGAATGTGGACCTTGATCCTGACCATCTCCCCCTCTGAGTGGGATCGATGTGCTCGAGAGCTTGATGTCAAAGGAACACACAGAAGGCTCGCCGACCTTTCCAGGTTTCTGGAGTTGGCATGATCGTGTGAGATGACTTGTGAAAACCGCTTGTCCATTAAAGTGCATAATATTTCACCATCCCTGCCTTGTCTGGGACAAAAGCCGGGAGGGTGCTGAAATTGAAATCCTTCGGGCGTGAACGGCTCAACTTGTCCAGGTCTCTGGGATCCTTAGCTGCCTTAGCCGCAAAGTACAGCGAACTTTGCAAAATCAGTGATGACGACACGCCTGCGCAATAGGCTGGAACCGAGGCACTCTGCGGTCAGATTCTGTCTGCATCTCCTGCATACGACATCCCACCTCGTCCACCTCACCCCAAATAGAGAGCGAAAGGGTAGATGCAGGTAGATCCCACTAGAAAGAGTCTGTGTACATGCAGGTCCACTGCAGGGAGTGGTGGGCAATCTCACAAACATTACTCAACGAAATCACTTCCAGTGTGTCATGACATGGAGTGCGGAGGCAGACTCACGTTACCCATGCCTGAGTGAAAGAGTTGCGCTAGGGTTCCATTGCAAGCCACGCCCGTTTACAGCTTAGGGCCTTAGGCATACTGCGCATAGTGACACATATTGTATGTATACTGTATACTGTATATTACACATATAGAGAGAGACAGAGAGATGTGCGCATGATGCAATATGATGCACGCCATCAACTTCAATGAAGGTTGTCAAAAACAGTTTGATCGACACCTTTCACGAGGACAAACAGGAACCATCACAAGAGCAAAGCAGGTCCAAAGGCAGCACCCGGCACAACCTCAATCACCTTGTCATCCATGACAAAACAAGGAGGTGATGCATTGAACAAATTAAATTAAATGACTGTTGGGACGCATGAAGGACCAGACTCGAAACAAGCCCATGCACCACCTCAACATCAGTCAGAATAAGACATCCACAACAAACATAGGCAAACAATGTATATATATAATATATTGAATATTATTGAAATCATGTCGAGGTAATGTCAAAAACCCTATTACTCAAATGGAAGGGAATAACAGCAAGTTTTAGCAAATTTGTTTCCGCCCCTGAACAGTGGAAAATTATATGATAAAAGGTTTTCTTTCGCCCAGGGTGCTTTTTAGAGATCTGTTTACTTTTCGGTTGTTCTGCTGATGCTGTCCTTTAAAAATCCTTGCGTGACTCTCCTGAGGTTTGCTCAATTCATGGAACTCTGACCTGAACACTTTGTTCAAAAAAACATATTGAAACTCATCGATTTCATGGCCTCAAACAATTGAATCGAAGTCAAGGCCGCCACCCCATGTGTCAAGGAATGTCAAGGAAGTGCCCATTCGAGCTGGCAAAGCAGGCCGCACTTTGGTCAGCCGACCAGCTCGTCGTAGAGATGTGCAGTGCAAAGCCGCTTTTGGCCAGGGAGCTGCGGCGCGGAGCAGAAAGAACTGTGGGAAAAAGGAGAGAGAGAGAGCGCAAAACGGTGAGGTTGAGATGTGTAATTATATTGCGTAAATTAGAGTGAACATGTGAGATGCATCATAACATGCTTGCACGCCATTGAGCTTATTGTTGCACTCTTGTCAAACTTGTCAACAAGGTCCTTGCCCTTCACCTTCTGTTCACTTGCTCGATTTGTGATCTTCCCTGACATCTTCAGAGCTCAGGACCGCCAAAATTCATCTGGTGAATGTGCCGCATGGCCTTCATAATTGCTGCGACTCTCGGCAACGTAGTATGGCAGGTTTGGGGACAGCAGCGTTTCGTGCAATGTGTCCAGTTGGCTCTGCACCTGGCTGACCCATATGGCAAGGTCGACAAAAGGAGAGATGATGACAAAGTGACACGTAAATAATTGAGAATATTGTTTTTCTAACCCTTATTGGACAAGGAATGGCGGCCGGCCTCGGGTCCTTCAGGCGTCTGCTGGCCCGGCCTCCAACGATGACTCATGATGTTGATAAATTTTGGAATCCATCTGCTGCGGTGGCATCTGCTGTCATTGTCAAAAAAGTTGAAAGCCTCTAAGTCTTACCTTGCCCTACTCCAACAGCACTAAGTTTCTGGCTGCTTTTTGCTCTTTTGTCGCTGCCGCCTGTAGTTCAGCCTGCGCACGAGGGGCTGAATTCAGCAACGTTCTGAACTTGAGGCAGGGAGTCACCGATGGGCGGACAAGCACCAGTTCCAGCGAAGTGCTGGCAAGCTGCGCATACTCCGCATGCTCCAGCAAGTCCTCCACGGCTGAAATGTCACCTTCATCTGGATCAGGTTCATCTGTCAAGTCATCTACACCACTTCCCCAGGATTCGTAGTAGTCTTCATCCTGCGTGCAGTCCAAAAAGGCAAGTATACTGAGAGCAATCTACGTGCTCGCAGCCTCACTGCACGGTCCTCTAAGTCCTTGAATTCCTCTTGAAGTGTCAAAAACCTGACTGAGGACAACTCTGCACTATAATTGCCCCGAATGGAGTTTGGATGAGTTTGGCGTGCATATGGTCGAAAAAAATCAAGAAATATAAGGAGCCGTTGAAGGAGTATACACGCGGTGAACAGGGCCAAGATTGTCCAAGTGGGGCTTGACTCCAAGTGGCTTTTCAAGCTGCTCCATGGGAACGACCATGTCCTCCTCAAACTGACTAGTCACCGGCGCCACGGCATGCGGGCTCTGATCCTTCGGACTGCACAACGCGGCATCCCGACTTGCAATATTGAGCGCAAACCCTGTTGAGCACAAACCAAGGGCGTTTTTTGTTGCTGTTCGTTTTGTCCTTGTAGCCTCGTTCATCTGAACTGGAGCCTCTGCAGAAATCGATCATGTGACTACAGTGGGGCCCTTCGGGACCCTCAAACTCAAACATTTGTTGCACATGATGGTGTTCCATGTCAAATATCCGGCGTGATCGGTGCAACTTCGACAACTTTGTCGCAAATCTCTCAACAAATAAAACAAACATGCCACATACCCCTGCTGGATCACACGCCTGTTTCAGCTTTAGTCGCTTGAATCGCCATCCGTAGCTGGCCCACGAAGGTTCTTGCTTTGTCTGTGAACCCGTAGTCGCCTTGTGTGCACGCGCGCGAAAAAAAGAATCAAAATGAATCAAAGGCGTCTGACCTGAAAATAGATTCCCTACGAAGGCATCTGCCAGCGTGAAATTTTCAAAGCATACCTGCCCAAAACATCCCAAAACGCCCCCAAACAGTCTTACTCTGATTGTTCAGCCAACGTGGCTTTTCCGAAACTGTGCTTGATCTTCAGGTGAAAGCTTCTTCACTGCAATCCACAGCAACGCCTAAACACTTGCAAACCATCACAAACAAGGAACGCATTCACTCCTCAACTCCTACAAACGCTTCCAGGACAACCAACGGTGGGCCTTTGCGAGTTTTTCGCTGATGTTGTTCATCACCAGCTGACCCGGCAGGAAGGCCAGGAACAACTTTCCATCCTCAGGGATGACAACAAACGACCTTGGCCAAGAGAACCTTAAAATATATCCGCAAATCCTTCTGAATTTCCCTCCCTCACCTTGTGGCCCACGAAAAAAGGTTCTGCAGACAGGGCCTTGATCCTCGCCAGGAGTCAAACGAGCATGAAAAACTCGTTGGGTCGAATCTAAGATTTGAAAGGGTTGTGTGTGTGTGACATCCTTGGAGTCACACGGAATCCGTTGAATTTGGGTCTGTTTCCGGAATTTTTCCTGTTCTTGAAGCTTAATAGATAGTAGGGGGCGCGAGCAGCCCATCCAGTCTTGCACCAACGAAGGCACTGGATGCGCGCTGATGATATCGATTTGGGACGCCAAATCGACGTACCTGCTCTGAACACATTGACTCCAATGGTCCTTCCTCGCTCAAGCTGTTTCCAGGTTCATCAAGGAACAACTGCAAATCAACCTGTTCCTGATCCCTCATAGACGTTGGTGCGCTCAAACGTCTACGCCTACGCCTACTCCTACCCCTGCCACGCTCTTCTTCCTTTGGCGTCGGAAGGATGACCGGAGGAGGCTTGGCTGGGGTGCGGAAGCGTTCCCTGCATTCGTTGGATTAATTATGACTCACTGAATTGATGTCTCGCACATGAATCAACTGACACGACAGCTGCCGAGCTTACGGATTCAATGCTGCAGAACTTACGGAGAATAAACCCCAACCCTCCCCCTCCCCTCTTTCCTTCTTGCGTTTTCTTCGTTTGTTAGGTGTTTCTTCAGGTTTTTTAGGTTGTTTTTGAGGCTCGTTTCCCTGCCCCTCGGCTTTTAGTCAAGGGCTAAGTAGTCAAGTGCTAAGTAGTCACCTTTTCCGCTACTCCTATCTTTTATCGTTTTGTTCTTTCTGTCTTTCTTTCTTTTCTAAGGTCTTTCTTTTCTAAGGTTTTTTAGGTTCCTACTGAGGTTTTGATCCGCAATTTGCCGCTCGTGCGGCAGACCTGCAAACCCTTACACCTACCTTTTTCTCCTGCCCTCTTCGTTTCCCGTTTCTTCTTTTTGCCTTATTTTCTTTTTCTAAGGCTTGTTAGGTGAATATTCAGGTTGAGCAAGGGAGCGCCGCGAAGCGGCCTACTGTTTGCGTCACACTCCGTATCTAAGAGCCTTTTTCCACAAGCACTCGCAGGGGGATGGAAGAGGACATGTGAGGTTCCATCCAACGAAGCTGATCACATGTAGGATATGGGCAAGGACGCTTGCCGACGTACCTGCGACAGTGACACTACCCCAATCTTCCTGTTGTTCCTTGGTTTCATGGTCTTTGCATGCTATACTTACATAGTCTGGTTTTTTATAACATAGAATTAACATGAATTAACCAAATTATCATGAAAGTATTAAATAATTATAACTAGATATAACTAGTTAGCCAGAGTCAACAAGCCACTTTTTGAGGTCATATGGTAAAGAAAATAAGCGTTGGAAAGGAAAAATAGTTAACAGCTGCTTGATTTTAGCTGGTGGCTCTTATTTACATCGAATAAAAGTCACATGGTGTTGAAAAATGTCTCTTTTGATGGAAATGCCACATGGCAAGCCTATTAACTGTTCATATCAAAAAGTTCCAATAACCTATACCAACCCATCCTACATGAACACTTTGCTGGGCTGAAATGTCAAGCCAGGCGACTGTTGCATTGCCACTTTTCATGCATTCACTGGCTTGATGAAATGCCATGGAGCCAATTTTGGTGCTTTGAAATACAAAACCAGCAAGCGCATGGACTCTGCTTAGGATCCTTTTCTCCAGCATTTGGGAATAGATTGGGTAAGGCAAAAGCACTTTGGCTTCAGCTCTGCTTTGTGGCAAATCACGGGCACAATGATGTCTGCTGTGGGTACAAGCCCCAAATGGTCCAGCACTTGGCAAATTGCACATTGCTTGTGTGGCAGCCATTCTTTGACCAGCCAAGACTTCACCAAGGTAGTGGCAACATCACGCAATAGGAAATGCAATTGGATTTCTGCAATCCCATGGACTCACCTGCCTGGTAAATGACAGTGTCATCCTTGAAGCAACTCATATGGTTCACTTTGGCACACTGGCTGCTCTTGGCCTCCCCAATTGGCTCACCAATCAGATTGGATAAAGTTTGCAAACTTTTCTTGGGAGCTGAGATGGGGTCAACCAAAAGCACACCATCTTTGAACAACTGTGGCTGGTCCAAGTTGCAGATCTCCTTGGCAAGAACTTGCTCCAAGGTCCAAGAGATTGGTTTCAAATTTCTTCTTGTTTTGCAAACTAGTGGCCAATTGGCCGATTGGCTTGTGCTTTCTTTCATTGGCAAAGCATGATGGGGGGAAGCCAAATCTTTGCTGTGTATCTGGCATATGGAGCAGCCAATGCCATTTCTTTATCAATGACACTTCCGGGAAGGCAGCCTGGAAGCACTGCATGGCCAGCTCTATGGATGGCAACAAAGTGCCTTTGCTGATGGTGCCAGCAAGGTTTCCATCATGGACCTGGTCAATGATGAGATGCCATGGCCAGCAAAGCCTGGCAAGCTGGAGCTTGGAGGCCATTGGGCAATGCCACATTGTAAACAAACTGGCGCACAATTGGGTATATGGCTAAACACTCTGAAGCTTGGACTGAAACCTTTTGATTGTTTTTGTGGCTTGTCTTCTTCTTGGAGAAATAGGTTCCAACATGCTTGCACTTCCAGGCTCTTGGGAAAACACAAAACAGTAAGTCTCCAAGCCAGACCACACTTGGAAACCTTCTTCCATGGCACACAGAAACTATAACACAATGGATGCAGTTCCCTGCAATATGCCATGCATGTAATCATGCGCAAACTGGCTGCGTGGCCTCAATTGACCCATGGGTTTCAAGTCTGGGTCGAGCAGCAATGCCTTAATTGGAGCTGAGGTTCCAGCCTGTGGCCTGCTGCCACATGTCAAATTCTGCTTTGGTACACTTGATCTTTTTGGCATCTAATTTTGCATATGACTGGAGAACCTCTGCATTAGTGGTCAACACCAACTGGCTGTGCTTTTTGATGTTGCAGTGCATCTAGTCCTCTGTAGTGATAGTGCCACTGCCTCGAACATTGGCGCACAAAAAGCAAAAATTCTGGTCACTGTCACCTTTGCTGCTCCAAACGTGCTTCTGGGCTGCTTGCGTCATGGGCTGCACCATCAGCTAACAGCATGGAGAAGGTGAAGCGGAGCCTGATGTCTTGGCCTTGTGGGCCTTTCAACAAAGAGCCAGTGGGTGGGTGAATCAACTCATGGCAAAAAATGCTTCTAAGCAGAGCAGTGGTGATTTGGCCTGATCTGATCAAGTCTATGGTGAGCCAACTGTCTGTGGAATGGAGGCGCTGGCCAAATTGGAGGAAACTGGCATACCATGCCCAGCTCTTCCTCTCTGCCCTGCCCAACACATTTCCAGGCACCAACTCGTCCAAGTAGACCATGGCTTGCTGGTCGAAGATGGGTTTTGATTGCGCTTGCTGGCCAAGAGCTGGTGGAAGCCACCACCTCTGAAGAACAAGGCTTGCAAGTATGTCAAGAAGTTGGTGGCAGGCAAGGTGATTGGCTCCGCTTCACTGTTCTGGACACTGATCTCTTGGATCACAGGACCCATGGCACCTCCATCACACTGGTTCAAAAGGAACCTTCTGGCGTCTCTTTGCTCTTTTGGAGGGCTGTAATCAGGTAAGCCGGTCTTCTTGGCTTCTGCAATCATAGCATGCAAGCTGGTTTGGCTATGGTGTGGCGAATTGGCCTACTGTTGGAGTTTGGCCAGCTTCTGAGGCCTGGAAGAGGAAGCAGCCATGGTTACAGAAGAGCAATAAAAGAGTGTGAAAGTAAGGGTGTTGTCCTTCTATCAGTTAAGGGTGCTGCCCTTCTTGCAAGAAAAAGGTGGATGACCACGTATATATACATATACCTTGCACATGCTTGCGCATTGCATATATTGGAAGTTGCGCTGAAGGATGCGCACTCTGGAACTTTGCAAGAGCCAAACAGAAAAGGTTGCTACAATTACAAAGCCAAAAGCATTGGTGGACATACTATGACGTAATGCCAGAAATGATCAGGATGAAGTGCCAGAAAGGCCAGTGCACATAGACATTTGTTGTTGGGTCTGTGTACATGGTCTGCTTAAAAGCTGGTGTCTGGTGTCTGCCACTGGCACTTCCTCTGATTGGAGAGCACTGGTGCCTGCCAGTGGCACTTCTTCTGATTGGAAAGCACTCTCACTGGAACTCTTTTGGCCATGGTGCATTTTGGAAAGGCCTACCAGTCTATTCCCAATATTGCTCCATGGATCCCTTCGACTCATAGTTAGAGTTGAGCTGGCACTAGCCATTTCTTGGTCATCTTCCTTGGTCCTGCTCTTGGTACCAGTGGTACTCATGGGCTCTGTACGATAGATCATTCTATTGGACTCAAAGTCCCTTGCTCTGCTATCATGGGCTTCCATGAGGAAGGTTTCAACTTCCTCCATGCACATTTGGGATACAGCTCTTTGTATGGAGCCCATGGCCAAGACACTATGAGAATGCGGATAGTGATAACACTAAGTACAAATCAGTACAAAGACAAATGAGTGATAACACTAAGTACAAATCAGTACAAAGACAAATGTATTTGTCTATATTTATGAAAGTGTATTAACTT